CGTAATTGGAAGTAAATATCATTTTATGGAAAGTAAATCTTTAATTTTCCTAGATTTAGGAGATTTAAATTACCTTTGGTAGTTTACGCTTTCTACCATTTGGTAGAAGATAGAGAAAGAGAGAGATAGAAGGGGTAGAATATACATTCTGCAACTGGTAGTACTGAAGCAAATGGTGGAATGTACAATCTGGCATATGTAGAACTTGAGAAATTAGTAGAATACTTGATTCTACCACTCGTAGATTTATTCAAATTCGCAGAACACCTAATCAACTAGTAGATTCGACCATGGTAGAAGCAAAAATAAATAATTTTCTGTCATCGTTTTGGAAAAAAAAATTGTACATGAATCTATATGTCTTATGTATTACTTGTTTGTATTTTCTTGATTTTATAAAATTATAAAAACCATTTATTTCTAATTTTCGGAATTAATCAAAGGGTAATTTAGGGAAAAGTTGGCAAAAATAAGGCAAAGGTCATTTCGCAAAACACTAATTCAAACTGAGTCAATTTAGCAAAATTCCCTTAGATATTTTAATTTTAAATAGAAATAGATTGAACAATCAATCAAATACCTTTTTCTTTTGGGATATTATATAATACTAGGTGAACGATCCGCATATATGCGGGTTTGTGATAAACTATTTTGTAACTTGTGATAAAATATTTTATGAGCCATGAAAAAATCAAATTCGAAAAGATAAAAAAATGAATAAATCACCCATGGAAATAAACAAAATAAATCCGAAAATATTGATATAAAATAATTTAAGAGTTACTTTTTTTAGCTTGGTTATTTTTCTTATTTGATTTCCAAATAATTCTTAAATTTTATCACGTAATTAGTTTTTTTCTATTTATGTATGAAGTAATTTAGTTTTAATCACTTCACTACTCTATTTTTTTGATAAAAATTGAATTAATTACTCATTTTCTATTTGAATTTTTTAGTTTTATAAATTTTTATAATCCGTGGAAAAAACAAAAAAGTGCAAGACCACTAATAGAGAAGTCTTACCATTATTAAGTTGTTTTGACTCTTTTTAGTATATTATTTTTTCAATTTAAATTTGTCAAATATTTTCAAATAATTAGTTTTTTCTATTCCTAATCGAATTAGGTTACTTTTTATATATCTACATGTATAGCTATTTTTCCAAAAAATTGAAGAATTATTCATATTTTAGTTGCAAACTAAAACTGTAAATTTTAATAAGATTTCTTTCACATAATTGATTCTCAAATTTTGTAAGAAGCGAATGATGCACAAAGCTTTAGTTTGTAATTTGCATGAAGCGAAAGAAAATACTATAATTAGATCGTCGTAATCTATCTCACCTACCGAATAAGAGGATAAATGAAGTTATTTTATAATGAAAAAGTTGAAATAGAATTCGACGAAAAAATTATAGAAATTTAAAATTGTTTGGTAAGAAGATTAAGATAACGCAAACGGTTATTATATAAATACAAAATATTATAATCTATGACTATTTGTGTATGAAAACTTAAATCTATTTGAACTAAACACATGTATTAGTAATATATATATATATTGATCTTAATAATCTAATTGATAAATACAAATCTATAGTTCAAAAAGAAATAAGATTTGCATGATATATAT